AGTATGGAGGATATAAGGAAGGAATTTTAATTTTTAAACATTTGTTTATAGATATTTTTAAAATTTCTTATAAGAAATGAAATGTCATGGGTGTCAGGACCTTTTTGAGGGTCTTCATATTCACGAGGTAAAGTCTGAAACGATTCGGTATACTCAATTCGATGAAATGTTTCACGAACGATTGACCCGTCAGATACTACTTTCATATCACCTTAAGAGTCATTATATATAATGTAAAACTATTTATAAAACTTTTCTTCAAACCGGATGCATCGAATCACTTGAAACATCAGTACGTGACTATGAATGATGAACTAAGGAAGGACGTGGTGCTCATGAAATTTAATTTAAAAAAAGATATCTATTCTCTTCTAGTCTGAGATAAAAAAAATGTATTAAAAATGTAATTTCACGAGCATCACATTCTTCCATAGGGCTTCCATGTGAAGTTTCCAACGATTCGGTGTATCCAGTTTAGAGAAAAGTCGTTTCAAACTGTACAACATGAACATGGAGGCTATAAGGAAGGTCCCGACACCCATGAAATTTCAATATTTGAAAAACTTGTATATAGATATTTTTCAAATTTTTTATATAGTATTGTTATATATATGTATAAATGGACCCTTTCATATCACCTTATAATAACTACCGGAAGTTCGAAGTCTCTATGTCCTTTCCACGCACCACTGCGTCATCCGTAATAGATGAAAATACTTCAATAGCTGCGGTGCTGCGTCATTCAATGTTAGTTTAAAAAAAAAAAAAAAAGATGAAATCCTTTCATGTCATTTTCCAAGTTTCCTTCGGAAGGATACCTTACTTATGACATTCGACTTGGTCAATTTGTCACGAACGAGGAGCCGTCTTCATTGGTCGCGTCCGTCATTACGCGATCCCGTTCCAGAGAGGAAGACGGAGATAGAGGAAAAAAGATGAGCGAGCGCATAAATTTCCCGGACCAGAGCGGAAAGATTAGGCCCCGTTCACACGGGCCGAGATCTCGTCCGGTCGCCGAAGGAGGTCCACGACCTTCCCGAAGGGTCGACGAACCTAAGGCCCCGTACGCAACGGAAGTGGAGCCACGAATCTGAAACGAGGACCGTTCCCTCTGTACAGGGTGTCCAGGAATTTCTGCAGAACACGCGCAATATTTTACTTTGTAAAGGAAATAGAACCGGGGGAAAAGTCAGATAATTGTTGTGGATGATCCTTAAAGGAAGAGGGGACGCTTTATATTATAACGGCATGAATTCATAATTACGAGGGATTTAAAAGAAATATGTAAACGGTGGAATGTCACATGTTCGTTGGGAGTTTGGGCTAGGTAATTTCTTCTACCCTAAAGTGCGATCTTGTAATTCGGATTTAATGTAGTTTTACGTACGCCCTCTAACGATGTCTAAAAATACCGCAGTTATGTTAATAGATGGCACTAAGTATCCTATAAATTATAACCTTAGATGTTTGTAGAAAGCATTTCACATCTCGGGAAATGTTAACCCTTTGTGCTAAGTCTTTTGGACTTATGGGCGAATTTCATCAGGGCGTGCAAGCAATATTGGACCAAACGTCGGTCGCACTTATGCGCCCACAGTACTAGGAGGGTTGAGGGAATTTCACTGGACGTAATTTCCTACAATTTAAATGATTTAAAAGTGACTTACGATACGAGTGTCACGTATCTTGCGAGTCGTTTTAATTCCCGATCGGCAGACCGTAATCGAGAATCATCGAGGACAAATTGGCCAAATGATTGGTTTTAATTGACCCATCCGTGTACCGTTCGAGAGCACCCGAGATGGAGCCATTTTGTTTGCGGATTCGACTTTACCTCGAATTTTGCGAGCGTTCGTGTCGTACGACTACTTACTTTCCGTGAATCGCGGAGCACCCTGTATGCGGTCCTCCGTTAAACCCCTCACGGTTTGCAACAACGCGTTAATTAGGCGGCACTTTAAGTACTGGAAGTACACCCTCGGTGCATGCGGTGCACCCGGTGCACTTTGGGCGTGTCTCCACGAGTACTACTTCATTTCGTTGCCCTTCGAGGAATCACCGCATCCGGCTCTCTTTCTCTTTCTCCCTCTCTCTTTCTCTCCGACTTCCGGTCCTCGGTGCTCGAATAAAAAGAAACCCGAACGAAAGGACTGCACCTCCATGCAGTACAAAATGTATGAAGTAGAAAAATACTTGCATTCGGGCGAGTGTAATTAATATGCGACCTGTACCCCATAGGGAAGTTGTAAATCGCAACCGTGCGTACGGTACATATCAAGTGTTTTATTTTTCTTCTCGGTAATTGCTGTCGCTTGTCCGATAAACATTAATCACGTGGCGGGTAAAATTACCGTATATCACGGGCGTTAACTTTTATACGCAGGTTTTCACTTACATTTCTAATAATGATTTTTAAGTTGATTTATAATCAATTAATTTTCTTCCGCGTCTGCAGTCATTTCTAATGGGCATATGAATTATTACCTAGGGGAGTAAATTCAATTCCGGCGTGATATCGCGAGCCCCGACTTCGTGAAGGGATTTTTCGCGCCTTTTTTCCCCGCATTCGACGCCGCGAAAGCTTCCTTCCGGTGCTTTTACCCCATGGTTGTACACTGGTCGACGGAGAACCGGAAGTGCACCGTTCGCACGCGAAAACTCGCCACTTCCGGCTTAACCTCGCGGCTCGTCTCTCCGCTCTCCCTCCTGGTTTGCGAGCTCTTTCTCTCTCCGTCTCTCTCCTCATCCGAGTGCTAATTGGACGACAAATTGGAGGAAGGAAGACGGAAGCAACGGGAAAGGAAAAACTCGTCGGTGGGTTTTTTTCTCACCGGGGAAAATGCATTGCGATGAGGCGATAATGAAACCGGCGAGATAAAAAAAATATTGCAATTACTGCTGTCGGATGGTAAAGATCTTTTTTACGATTTTCGTCGTTACCGCGACTGAAGCTTTGGTAATAATATACACATTTCCCGGGGTGCCGATATATCACGGTGGAACATCGAGTATAGTAATAGTTTCAATCGGTTAACACTTTGCAATAATTAATATAGTAAAAATGACATGTAGGGATGGTCAATTTTAGACAGATTTTTTTTGACAATCTTTTGTACCGATAATTCCGATCAGCTAACAATGTTGCATTAGTTTTCGCGATAGTAGATACCTAAATTAGATGTTTTACATATGTTACAAAATTCCGGGCTTACCACATGGTATTCCTACTCTTTCCCCCTTTTCCGTTACATACCTATGGTTTGTTTCGTACAGAAAGTACCCCTCTAGATTTGATAATTAATATGTAATTCATAATAATTGACGCAAGGATCAATCGACCAAATACTGATGAGACCGCTGGACCGAAATCCTGGGGGAATCGGATCGAGCCAATCCTTGATTACCGTTCCATCTCTCTCTCTCTCTCTCTCTCTATCTCACTCTCTCTCTCGTAGTTGGGCTTCCGGCCCCCTGTGCAAACCGCTGTCCATTGCACGCCGGTCATCCTGATTACACGAGTAAAGGCCGTAATTACAGAAATAATCGAAACGCGCCTAAATCAACTGTCTGATCCGTTCTGCCAGAGAAATCTTGATAAGCTTGTCGAAGTCGGTAGTCCTTATCATGAATCTCTTTTTGTGGAGAATCGCAGAGGATCATAATTTCCGTTTCGACGGAGCAAGTCTTAGGAAATAAATCGTAACAGTCTATTTGCCAGGTGATGTAAAATTGTTAGTTCTGTCGTCCTCCGTTTACATAACCCTTCGTAACCCAATTTCCTTTTTCAAGCCAAGAGAAAATATGTGAAATTCACTAATACTAATTTACAATTTTTACACGAATACTAATTATTCGTGCACAAATTTACAATTTTTTTACACGAAGACTAATTATTCGCGTACAATTTTGCAATTTTTACACGAATAGTAATTATTCGTGTACAACTTTACAATTTGTACGAATTTGTATAAATTAACACGCTCATAAATATACAATTTAATAACAAATCCCTCGATTACAGAGGAACAGCACAGTATTAATGCGCTAGATTATGTTTCGCCGGAACAAATAATTGGCATAAATACATTGTCACAAATAATTGTTATAACTCAAGTCTTGTATAAACAAGACTTGAAAAATATCAATAAGTCACGTGGCGTTACAGAATGTTAAAAGTCCGCCCATCGAACCGATGGCATTTTTAAAATGCCCTAATAGAGTACAGGACGGACTTGTGTGCACTTAATTTCGTACCTTTTTTATAAATTCGGAATAAATAAGTAAGGAATAATCTTCGACGGATTTATTTTGCGGACGGATTAAGGTGAAGTGAAACACCTCTCAAACGGTCGATTCGAATAAAACACTTATTTTTAAGCGTATTGGACCGAACTGTCCGCAACTTTGACACATGACTCGTGATCATCGAGTAATTGTCCTGACATTCAAAATCTGGATTAAAAAAAAATTTTTTTTAACTTAGCACACACCAGAACCAAAATGGCGTCGAGCTCTCGTATTTCGATCAATATACAATTATTGAAGGCTGAAATATATGAAACGAAAGGGTCAGGACAATTGGACAATTTAGAACACTCTAGTAATCGATAAACTGGTATTTGAACGGGATAAAGGCAAAAAAAGTGTCTTATGCGCTACTATGCTAAAACGATGGTAATACGAGGTCTCGGAGTGAAAATTTAGTTGACACGGAAATCACAGATGGCGCAGGGGGTCCCTCTGCAGTCAATTAGGTCCTCAGAAACCATAAATCAAGGGGATTCCTAGAATCTTACGTCGATTTTTTAATAATTATTTTACGGAACGACAGGTGGAGTATGCCATTTAGTACAATACCTAATATAATTCGATACAGCTGTCAATGTAAAAACAAACGTCGACAATGTAGGTATTTAGAAGAATCTTTTTTACCGACGTCGATCAAGTTCCTCGATGTGTTTCACTTCACCTTAAGAAGAGAAATTTAATTCTGATTTCAGGGCTGTGACGGATCCCAGAGACGGTAGAAGAGTGGCCTTGAAGAAACTGCCGAATGTCTTTCAAAGCCTCGTCAGCAGTAAAAGGGTCTTCAGGGAGCTGAAGATGCTCTGCTTCTTCAAACACGAGAACGTGAGTGAGAACCACCCCTTAGGAATCGCAGGAGGCGTTCGAGTCACTTCCCGAACTCGGTTGCTCGCCAATTATTTATAGAGGAAAGTTGGAAACGAGTCGAGGCGATCAACTTTGGGACTCCGATGCACTTTGCAGAAAGGCGGAACCTTCTTTGGTGCCGTTCATCCGCGCGTTAAGAAGCGACTCGTAATCGTTCCCGGGACTCCGTGGCGCATCGACGATGCATTAAGGTGATATGAAAGTGTGATATATACATAATAAAAAGTGAAAATATTCATAAAACTTTTCGCCAAACGGAATTATCTGAAACATTAACACGTGATTATGGAGGCCGCAAGGAATAACGCGCTGCTCGTGAAATTTCTTTTTTAATAAAATAATAAAAATGAACTTATAGAATAAAAATGTACTTATCTCGGACAAGAACCAAAAATAGATTTTATTTTTCTTTCGAAAAATGAAATTTCACGGGCAGCGCGTTCTTCCTTAGCGCCTTCATAATCGCGCGTTATAGTTTTAGATAATTTGGTGCACTTAGTTTGGAGAAATTTTTATAGATATTTTGAATTTTTGGTATGTGTATATCACACTTTCATATCACCTTGAGTTCCTGGAAGGAAACAAGAAAAGGGATGAATAAGCTCTTCGAGCGAGAAATTGTCCGCGTTCTTTCAATTGTCGGCCGCAATCCGCGGGTTTTTCAGCTATTCATATTTAACTTGCGAAACTCGGTCGCGAGCCAATTATTTATGAAGAGAACTTGCGGAAACGAGTCGAGGTAATCGAGTTTGGAACTTCGATGCCGATGCACTTTGAGAATCGTCGATCTTTTAATAAATCCGGGATTTCGAGCATTATGGAGTTTCGAGTAAAATCGCTTCCAGATTTTGCGGCACGTGGATGGTGATTTTGTTAAATGAAAAATTAATAGACGTGCATACGTCGAGTCATGTCAGAATTTCTGTCGGTTTTTCGGCAATTTATTTCGACAAATGACCCAAGCTTTTACAAAATGGTATTGATTATTATCTTATTTGATGGGAAAAGATTATATTACCGATTCACTTCCAGTCTGCTTGTGATGTCACTATAAAGTTCACCTATGAAAACGATAACAGTCTTGGAATTATTTAATAGGTGCCTGTCGTGATACATTGTAATATTGAATTCATTGCTGAACTTTACTATTTTTTTCGGCGATTTTATCCGTGCTAAAAATCCGGAAAGTTGTCTACAACCTTTTTTAATATTTTCTTATTACTTTTATGTTACCTAATTAACAATTAAGTAATTTCTCCCACGCGATTAACCCGCTCGTTGTTTGAAAATAATTTAGGGTTTATTTTTTAGATTGTGGCTTTTTACAGCTTTCTGTGTAACATTATAGAGTAATGACAGGAATTTTCGAGGCGATTTACGAAATGAACGCTGCTTTTAAAGAGGTTAACGGGGCTCATATCTATTGACAAAAATTAGAATTTAAAAACATATAAACATTAAAAATATCTAATTTTCAGATAGGTACAGGAAAAAGTGAAACACAGCATATAGATACTGGCCAAGCACATTATTAACTATGCTTTTAGGTACATATCATTTTACATAAAAAACTGTTTTGCTACTTTAAACGGTTCTTCAAAACAATGCCATTTTTGTGCTTTGTGATTCAATATTTCAAATAGTTTAGGTTCCGCATAATTCACATTTTAACACATGTTGATAGAATGTATGGCTATAGAAATAATTACCAATAATTGTTTACGAGCAAAATTACTAAAAATCTTAGGTATTCATATTTTTTTAAAATCATTTTTCCATATTTTGAGAAAATGACTTTTTAAAAATTGTCGAATACTGTGGGAAGTTAATGAAAATGGCCATTTCTGAGGAGGTACTCATCATGATTCATCTTCTAAAGACGGAATGCTCTGGAGTGATTGGTCTGTCCGAAAACTTCTGACAAACTATGATGTACACTAAAACACGGTTCCTTACAATGTATCATAATTCGAATATTGTTGTACGGAAAATGAAAAATAGTTATATCGATGTATACGTAAAAGTACGGTTAATAACACGCTGAAACCGTTCTTAAATATCGTATTTCACTTCTTTCCTATATTCTTTTGAAAAATGGGCAGTTTTAGCATCGAAAATAGCTGTGAGCCCCTTTAAGGTGATGTAAAAGTGGCGTCAAAGAGACTTAGAGGCGTAAAACTTTTCTCCGAACTGGGTGTACCAATTCGTTTCAAACTGTACAACATGAACATGGAGGCTATAAGGAAGGTCCCGACACCCATGAAATTTCAATATTTGAAAAACTTGTATATAGATATTTTTCAAATTTTTTATAAAAAATGTAATTTTACGTCAGGACCTTTCTGGTAGCCTTCATATTTACCTTGAAAAATTTGATACGATTCGGTACACCCACTTCGTAGAAAAGCTTCATGAACGATTGACCTTTCGGATGCTACTTTCACATCCCTTTAACACTGAAACTACCGGCGGACTTTTTTTTCCTGCGGCAGGCCATTTAAAAACCCAGTCATTTTGACCGGGCTTGGTAGTTCTAGTTTTAAAAGAGCAGGTTATTTCACGAATGTCGAGCCGTCCACCGGGACAAGACCCTTGACCAAAATCGTGGGTCCCCCCTGGAGGTTTCCAAAACGTCGTCGAGTTTATTTCCCTTGTGGGCGACCTGGCCGTTGTTTCTTGGCAGGCACTCTGGTTCGGCCTCTTCCACGAAGGAGAAGACACCTCGGCTTATTAGAGCACCCCGGCGCACATTTGTCTCTCCTTTAAGCGGGCGGGTCGCCTAAGTCAAGACTGATTTTAAATTTAAACATCCCTGTCTCATTTCCCGTTTGGCTCACGGTCCTTGGCCTTCTGATTGCAGGTCCTCTCCGCACTGGATATCCTGCAGCCGCCGCATTTGGATTTCTTCCAGGAGATGTATCCTTTTCCTTAAGAACAATCGCGCGGCTGATAGCCTCAGCCCAGGCTCCAACTTGACCTCTTCGAGTTACAATGAGGTCGGGATGTTGGAGAATCGGGATCCCAAGAAGTCGCGGAAAAGCTCCCAGGGACTCGGTTTTTGAATCGCCGTATAATGGCCCGAGTTTATAGCTGGGACCAGGCCAGAATAGGGATTGGCACGCGAGCCAGATTTTAGCGATTTCTCTAAGTCCTTCATTTTTGAGGGGGCTGAACGTAGACAAAGGGTTTTAAATTTCATTTATCAATTGGGGCTATACATTTCAGCTGATCTCGGCTTTTTTCATCTTCTCTTCCAGTCGTTCACTCCACTTCGCTGCGAATGTTGTGCTGTTTTCGGTACGTATATATACATCGGTAGACTAATTAAATGCAGAATTTTCAGTGTTTAGACATTAGGAGGACATTCCTGGAATTGGATTGAACAGCGCATTCGGAGGTGGTTAACACGTTCCGTGTACCACCCGAGGTTAACGCGTATTATCGGTGGTACACGTGGTACGGAATGTATTAACCCCTTGCGCTACAATGATGAACTGGACTCATTCAGCTAGAATGTTTCATAATGAAATCGAAGCGCAAGGGGTTAGAATTCGGTTTAATTTGTTCAAACATTCCGGTTTCTTAGTAATTTCATATTCAGGATATTCTCAAAGACACTTTTTTCCCTACTAGTTCACAGTTCGGTGCACCGAATCATTTGAGACTTCAACACGTGATTATGGAGGCCCTAATGAGGAACGCGGTGTTCATAAAATTTCATTGAGAAAAAAAAAGAAAAAAAAAAGAAAATGTATTATTGGTTCTAGTCTGAGATAAATAAAAAAATGTTTATCAGAAATGAAATTTCACGAGCATCGCGTTCTTCCTTAGAGCCTCCATAATCACGCGTTAAAGTTTCAATGATTCGGTGCACCCAGTTTGGAGAAAAGTTTTATAAATACTTAGATATATAGAATGAACCTTTCATATCATCTTAAAGAGCCAACCAAGGTTGCCTCGAGGTTGCACTTCCCAAAAAAAATGTTTATCAGAAATGACATTTCACGAGCATCGCGTTCTTCCTTAGAGCCTCCATAATCACGCGTTAAATTTTCAAATGATTCTGTGCACCCAGTTTGGAGAAAAATTTTATAAATACTTAGATGTATAGAAATGACCCTTTCATATCATCTTAATGAGCTAACCAAGGTTGCCTCGAGGTTGCACTTCCCAAAAAAAAAGTTTATCAGAAATGACATTTCACGAGCATCGCGTTCTTCCTTAGAGCCTCCATAATCACGTGTTAAAGTTTCAAATGATTCGGTGCACCCAGTTTGGAGAAAGATTTTATAAATACTTAGATATATAGAATGACCCTTTTATATCATCTTAAAGAGCCAACCAAGGTTGCCTCGAGGTTGCACTTCCCACCGTGAAAATCTCTATCCACCTCCTAAGCCCAAGACTTAACCTCAGATTGAGATTCACGACGTCGAGGCGGTATATCGTGCCGTCACACAAATTTATCGACCCTTCAAAAGTAGCCCCACATTTCCGCCCGACATTTTTACCGTCTTATGAAACACCCTGGCACGGTTTAGCTGGCGTCTGGGTGAGAGTTTTCTCGTGCCGTCAGTCATGGGGCGAAAAGCGAGAAAAAGGAAGAACAAAGAGAAGAATTCCGCACATCGCATTGCAGATCGGATTTACGTGTATCCTTAGATCGGGAGCAGATGAGGGTCGGAATACACATAATAGATCGGCTCTATGAATTTGGGGGTGGCCCGTGCCCTGGGCACCCTCGGTCCCTTGTTGGGCTCCTGCGCAGGCGCCTATCGATTGCAATGATTATTAAGCCTGTATAAATTCGGCACCCAGGGCAGTGTTGGGGGCACCCGTCGCCCCGGGCTCCTTTTCTGTCGCCAGTCCCTGGGGTGAGATTTCGGCGCCCTCTTCGCCACCTAGAATCGATTTCTCCCTCCCTCGAGACGACGTCCCCGACAGACTCCACCTCTTCCCACGCGGTGCAACGTTCGATGGACTGGACTATTTATTCCGAAACATCCCTCGCCGGAGTTTCTCGCCCCTGAAGGCTCCCCCTTATGACGATCGACCGACCTTTTGAACGTCGGGCAGTTCCTCGCCCTCCGCAAAGGGCACCCCTCGGTGTGGAAAAGGCTTTGCCGAAAGTTTGAAAGGGACTCACCGGCTCTTCTTTATCGGCCAGAGGGCTGTTTTATCTGTAATGGACGATGCGATAATTAGCATACAACGGGGTGGAGGGTGTTAATTAGGCACCGAGGGGTTTGACTCCTGGCTCAGGGAGGATATCGGAAATTGTTTCAGGGGCGGGGTAGCTCCGAATTCCCGGTTCTCTTCATTGCAGAATTTACGGAATGAGGAGGGTGGACAGCGATAAGGGTGTCCGATGTCAATTTTCGAAAAGCTTTAACATTTTGGAAACATTCCCACGTAAATTCCCCTTTTCATTCTGCTCGGGTACGTGAAATGGGGATTTATTTTCTGTTTTTCGCATTTTATCTCGGGTTTTTTTTTTTTAAATCCCCTTTGCGCGATTTTTTGTTCACTTCGGAGCGAGGGGGACCAAGAGCTTTCAGAGGCGAGAAGCAGAAAGCTGAGAGGAGGGTGGGCGGAGTTATAGGACGGGTAAAAGTGATTTGTAGGGACATCTGCTGTGGTTTCACCTGAGATATCGTCTGGGGTCTCCCAACTTTGGGTATTTCTCACCTGGCCACATCCCGCGCGACCCGCGAGGGTCACCGGAAGAGTCGATCTTGTCCAAAGTTTACCTGAAAGCTCTCCCTCGAAACTTGCGAATTCGGTGCTATAGATTTCAGCTCTCGGTACAACTTGCCACAGCTGGGGAGAGATATCCAAGTTTGGACTAAAAATTGGAAACCTCAAAACGACCGAATGATTTCGCCTTTAAGGTGAAGTGAAACACGTTGAGAAATTTGATTGACGTCGTTAAAAAGAATTCTTCTAGATACCTACGTTACCGATATTCGTATTTGTACTGACAGCTTTTTCGAATTATATTGGGTATTGTACTAAATGGCATACTCCATATGCCTTTTCTGGAAAATAATTATAAAGAAATCGAAGTAAAACTCCAGAAATCCCCTCGATTCATGGTTTCTGAGGCCGTAATTGATTGCAGAGGACACCCTGCTCCATCTATGATTTCCGGGTCAACTAAATTTTCACTCCGAGACCTCGTATAACCATCGTTTTAGTATAGAAGGGCATAAAACAATTTTTTTTACCTTTATCCCGTGCAAATGCGAGTTTCTTCATTACCAAAGTATTCTAAATTGTCCTACAATTGTCCTCACACTTTCGTTTTTCATATCAGAGCCCCTACTAATTGTACATCGATTGAAATATAACAACTCGACGCCATTCTGGATTCTGGTCTAGGCTAAATCAACAAATGTTTCTTGAAAATCTAAATTTCGAAAGTGTCAGGACAATTTATAAGTGATCACGAGTCATGTGTTAAAGGTTCGGACAGTTTGGTCCAATAACCTTAATAAAAAGTGTTTTATTCGAATCGACTGATTTGAGGTGGGTTTCACGTCACCTTAAAAATCCATCCTCAAAATGTGGGTTTTTTTTACAAATTCTAATATTTTTGTGTATCACGTTAGCAATTCACCAATTGAATTACAACACTAATTAGAATCATGTTTGCAGTTAAATTTNATATAAACGATTGATTAAAACACCGCGACTTTGATTATAGGAACACATTGACATCCTCTTAATTCGTTCTAATTCAAGTTCTGTGTAGTGATTGAATTTTCCTAGAATCTTAGAAATTTTCCGACAATCACTAAGTCTTTAATTCCACCTCGTTGCCTTTTTTCTAATAAATTTGTGTGGGCATTCGTCGTGTTTTATGCACCATGCAAATAGTTTCTGCATAATCTGCATACTTTCCCCTAGATACGAATCATCGATCAATCAGTCATTGGATTCTAGCGTGCATATTTCACTGGGAAAAATCCCGGCAGGACTAGATTCTCTCACGATCGAAAATGTATCTTCGACCCGATCTTCCGTCCTTTGAACCCAAATTGCGCAAAAGCTCCGGTTCCCACGGAAAGGGGCACCGGATTGGTTCATCACGTCCAGCGTCGATCGGGTTTTTCGCGACTCACGCATCGCTCGCGACCTGAAAAGGAGAGAACTCGATTTTAGATCGCGTTAACGCCATTTCAGCGTGCTAAAGCAAACGTGGCCGATAGCCATTGGCGAAGTCAATTCCGAATTTTACGTAACGGGAGGTACGTAAAGACCGCCGTGGGATCCTTTCGTTTTTTCCTCCTGTTCCGCTCCCCTGAGTACCATCATGGACCATCATGGACGAAGGTAAACAAGACCGACGTAAAAAAGATCTGATCGTCACGCCCCCTGTAGATCGAATCGATATCCATATATGTCGGTTCGTTAAATAGAGATCTGCAGGTAACAGCGCTGATTTTATTTAAAGATTGTAAATGTAGGCTAAAGGCGGGATATCGTGCCGTCCGTTAAGTTATGATATTTAAGACGACACGTTAAGAAATAACCATCTAACCGAAGAATTCTGAATTTAAACTTCGGTCATTTGTTTCGATCTAACTGTTTTATTTAAAGATTGTAAGTGTAGGCTAAAGTGGGGATATCGTGCCATCCGTTAAGTTATGATATTTAATACGACACGTTAAGAAATAACCATGTAACCGAAAGATTCTGAATTTAAACTTCGGTCATTTGTTTGGATTTAACTATTTTATTTAAAGATTGTAAGTGTAGGCTAAAGTGGGGATATCGTGTCGTCCGTTAAGTTATGGTATTTAAGACCCCACGTTAAGAAATAACCATCTAACCGAAGAATTCTGAATTTAAACGTCGGTCATTTGTTCGGATTTAACTATTTTATTTAAAGATTATAAGTGTAGGCTACAGTG